GGAGGTTTTGGGGTACAGAGGTAGGTTTTGGGGGGCATGGAGGCAGGTTTTGGGGTGCAGAGGCAGGGTTTGGGGGCACAGAGGCAGGTTTGGGGGGCAGAGGCAGGTTTTGGGGGGCAGGAGGAGGGCGCAGAGAGCGTGTAACATGGTAGTGCTGCACCAGTGCTCACGGCTGGATGGGGTTTCATCTCCCTCCACTCTCTTTTTCTCGTTTTTTTAGGAGTCAGAGTGTGTCACCACCTTTGCCCACCAGACTGTGGAATATGAAATTGCCCCTGGTAACTAATTCCAAAGCTGATTTTTTTTTATTTTTTTATTTTTTTTCCTTCCTCTCCTTGTTGATGGTTTAATATTTCCCTCCCCCTTTGCCCCCGGCTGGAATAAAGCTCTGATCTGGCTGAAGTGGCCTAGGAATCCCCTTCCCTGTGCTGGGAACAGGGAGAAATTTGGGAACGGGCACCTTTTTGGTCTCCAGCCATGACAAAAACATAATTCTCCAGAGTATTATTTGCCCCAAATCTTTCCAGCGGTGCCCAAATTTGGATACAACCTCACGGCGTGGTCTTTCTCCTTCCCCCTAAAATTTAAGCCTGATCACAGCAGGAGTGGCAGAACATTAAGGATAATTCTGGGCCTGGCTCCGTGCACAGGTTTTACATTGTCCCCCCCCGTGGTGGAGGGGGGGGGAACAGTCCTTTTGGTGGAGCTTGGTGTTATTTGAGGCTTCTTGGAGTTTATTTTTCAATCTCTGCTCCCTTTTCCTGGTCCATCCATCTCCCCCTCACCCCCTTTTCTTAATTCCTCGCCAGGAGTTTGTTTAAGCTTTTTCCCATCTGTGTCTCATTGTGAAAACAAGACGAGCCCAGTTGAAAACGAAACGGTTTCTCCTTATAAAGCCCTTAGTTGGCTTCGAACCTTTCTTCCTTTATTTTTAAATTCCTTTATTTAAAAAGACCCAACGGTGAGTCCCCTGCAAAGAGAAGAGCTTTTGAGGACGTGCCTTGTTCAGCAGCGGCACGATCGGACTCGAGTCTGCTGCGGATCCAGCCTCAGGTGCCCTCCTCCAGGAGCTCTCGTTTCCCATCTTTTATGGCAATAAAGAGTTTTGTTTTTTGGTTTTATTTTTTCCCTGCTGCTCCGAGCAGGAACCGGAGAGGCTTCGGGGGGTAGAGGAGAGTCCACAGCTGCCGCAGCGGTGGTGACACAGCCCTCCTATGTCACGAGTGCCAGCCTTTTTTTAAGGGGAATTGTGAGGAACTGTGAATCTCGTGCCGCCGAGCCATGCTACACTCCTCTCCCGCCGCTCCGAGGGCTCTGGCCGAGGGATTTCTGGGAATAATGGATGTGGGAAGGGGTCATTTCCTTTGCCAGGAGTGTCAGGGATGAATATCTGATGGATGTGCATCCCTCCTGTATCTTTAAGGCCTTTAAAACGGGCACTGTCAAAGTTGAGAGACCCCAAGTCGAGCTTTTGCTGCTTAAATGATAGTTTTCCTGCTGCTGACGAGGGGAAAAAACACGTAAATCTCCTTATCTCTTCCTCTCCTTCCTTTTGGGGGGGAGGAAGGGCCAGCTGTCACTCTGGTTTTGGTAAATTCAGCTGAAACCATGATAAAACTTAATCATTTTTCTCTTTAACCCCTAACTTCTCACCCAGCAAAGGTAACGAGCAAATCCATGCGACCTGATGGGTTTTTTTCTACACAAAACCTGAATCTGGCTCCCAGTCTGTTCCACACCAGGGACCACAACGGGGCTTGTTGTCATGGCCATGGCTTTACCAAATACTTCCCTTTTTCTCTCCCCCTGGGAGGTGGTGTTTTTGGGAACACGACCCTCACACAGCAAATTCAGCTGCTTTAAAGCCCCTCAATGCATAGAGCACAATCAATGAAACTGCCTGATAAACCCTGACCTGCTGGTGGTTGTGGAAGCTCCATCAGCTCAGGAATTGATTTTTGCATTTCCAGATCCAAGCAGGGTATCCGAAAGTGGAAACAAATCTAAAATATTTACCTCTACAGAGGACAAAGGGGAACTTCTGACCTGACAGTGTCTCTTTTAAGGCCTCCACCACCTTCCTCAGTGAAGCTGTGGCTTGTTTTTTGGGTTGTTTTCTGCTCCCGCCGCAGCTGTAACACGGTGCTTGTTTTGATTTTTCTTGCAGCATATGGTTATGAGCTTTAGGGTATCGGAGCTGCAGGTTCTCCTGGGCTTTGCTGGAAGGAACAAAAGTGGAAGGAAGCACGAGCTCCTCACAAAAGCCTTACAGCTGCTGAAATCTGGCTGCAGCCCGGCCGTCCAGATGAAAATCAAAGAACTTTACCGGCGGAGGTTCCCCAGGAAGATCTTAACCCCTTCGGACTTGTCCATGCTCCACATCCAGGCTGGGCAGTTGCCCTCGGCCACCGCGTTGACGCAGGGGACGGTGTGTCACCTGCCCTATGACCACGGCTCGGCCACCGTGGCGGCGGCTCTGCTGCCCCCGACGCCGGTGCTGGGTCCCAAACACGAGGCGGACGTTCAGCACCTCTCACCCCCCGTCCATCCCGTCCACCCCGACGTCAAGATGAAGAGGTTGCCCTTCTACGACGTCTACGATGAGCTGATCAAACCCACCACCTTAGGTATGTGGGGAACTGCTCGCTCCTCCTGCTCTTTGGAGGCTCCTGGGCTTTGCTCTGGGATGGAGAAGATGGAGCAGGAAGGGCTTCATCGGGACGGATTCAAAAGGCTGATGATATCCAGTGGGATTTTGTAGACTCATAGAAAGGTTTGGGGTGGAAGGGACTTTAAAATCATCTAGTTCCCTGAGCAGGGCCACCTCCCACCAGCCCAGGTTGCTCCAAGCCCCCTCCAACCTGCCCTTCAACCCCTCCAGGGATGGGGCAGCCACAGCTTCTCTGGGCAACCTGGGCCAGGCTCTCACCACTCTCAAAATAAACAAATTCTTCCCAAAATCTAACCTCAAAACCCTTCCTCTCGTCCCATCGCTCCCCTCCCCAATCAAGAGTCCCCCCCATCTCTCCTGGAGCCCCTTGAGGGACTGGAAGGGGCTCCAAGGTCTCCCCGGAGCCTTCTCTTCTCCAGGCTGAATCACAGAATGGTTTGGGTTGGAAGGGACCTCAAAGACCATCCAGTTCCCCCCGCCCTGCCCTGGGCAGGGACACCTCCCACCAGACCAGGTTGCTCCAAGCCCCCTCCAACTTGACCTTGAACCCCTCCAGGGATGGGGCAGCCACAGCTTCTCGGGGCAACCTGGGCCAGGCTCTCACCACCCTCCAAATAAACAAGTTCTTCCCAATATTTCACCTCAATCTTCCATTTTTCAGCTCAAAACCTTTTCCCCTCATCCCATCGCTCCTCTCCCCAATCAAGAGTCCTCCCTCCAACTTTCCTGGAGCCCCTTGAGGGACTGGAAGGGGCTTCAAGGTCTCCCTGGAGCCTTCTCTTCTCCAGGCTGAACCCCCCCAACTCAGAGCTTTTGAACCCGTAACTTCCCACCCCAACCTGTGGGAGCTGCCAGAAACGGAAGCTTTTAGTTGCTTGTCTGTCTCATTCCAAATTTATTTGCATGAAAAAGGGTATTTCTTTCCCAGCTGACACCATTTCTGTTAAGTGTATGTTTTATAGGCGTATATAAGTTTTGGATTATTTACTGTTTTCACCCAGTAGAGCCTGGGGGGGGGTTGATTTGCGTTGGGAATCCTGAAAGCTTTCCCTGGGCTGGCATGTCAGAGAATAAAAACGTGGATAAATTGGCACAGGCTGCCCTTTCTGAACACATCAGTGGGTGCCAGGAGAGTTAATTACGAAAAGTGGGTTTGTTATTTTTGCAAACAATGGGCGGTGCCGCTGCCAGCAAAACCCTGCGCCGCCTTTGAGTCTTAATTCTGCCTTAATTAAATAAGAGCAGAAGCAGGGGCTGGCAGGAGGGCCAAGGGACTGGTGCTTCCCTGTTGGTGAAAAAAAAACAACCCCAAATTCCAGAAAAGTTGTGTATTTGCTGGAATCCTTCAAATCCTGGGGGGAAGACCCACGGTGTGGGGTTGGCCCCATAATTGGTGGTGGCTTTGGAAGCGCCGCTGCACTCGGGGTGCTTTGAACCCACACAAAAAAAACAAAGGGAGGTTTAGTCTGGTTTTTAGAATAAGTTTGAAGTTGTATTTTTACTTTAGGTTAAGCCCTTCTGGCCTCTCCAGCCTAGATCCACCCATCTTAGGCCTTTTAAATGGTTTTAGTTTGGATCTGGGGTTGTTTTTCTTGCATATAAACATAGCAATGTGTGCCGGAGCGGAGATAAGTATATCCCAACTCCAACCAAAACCTCTGTGCTTTTTTAGGGGCTTGGTTTCGTTCCTGTTTTGCTAAAAATTGCCTTTTTTTTTTTTTTTGGGTTTGGCTTTGTTCGGTCTCTCAGAGAACCTGTGGTTAAGCCTCTTCCCTGAAATGGGATACTCGCCCTGCAAAAGGCATTATTTTTATTTATTTATTTATTTTCTCTCCTTTATTTCTGTGTCGGTGCTTGAGCTTGAAAGAGTTTTTATGTAATTCCTGGGGGATTGTGGACTTTTCTCTTTGGCTCTTTGGTGGTTTGTGTCTTTCTTCTCCCTTTCGCTGCGTAAACATCCCCTTCCCATTCTGTTCTTTTAGTTTCTTGGGGCAATTTGTTATAAATATGCAGATACGAAGGTCGGGGTGACAGAAAAAAAGCTAGAAATAAGCAATATGTGGGTGGGATAAATGAAAATAGGGATGAAGGGGGTGATGATGGGTGAAGACAGGGAGGTGGGGTTAATGATAAAGCCTCTTGGTCCGTGGGGACGGAGTGGCTTTACCCCAGCTGGGTTTGGAGCAGGATTTTGCCATCGAGGAGTGAAAAGTTCAAGGAGAAAAGTCCTGAGATGGGGAAATTTGGAGGAATTTGGACCGGTCTGGGGGCTGCCAGTCTGTGGCTGCTGCCGGTCCATCCATGTGGGGAAGATCTGGCAGGTCATCATCTGGCAGGGAGGGAGCTCAGGGCCTCTCATTCCTGGCGTTCCTGAGCTGCAGGAGGCTGGAGAAGCCAAACCCCCTCGCCCCGCTGAGGAATTTGGGCTCCAATTTGGGGTTTTTTTTGGGGGAGGCCAGCGCAAGGGTGTCCCTCTCCCAGGGCAGGTGGCACCGGGGACGGAGCCAACCTTCTCCTCTGCGGGTCTGTAGTCACCTCAGATGTAAGATTTACACACATTTCACTGCATTAACATCCTCAGCTTCCTTTTCCCAGGGCTGGGGGGGGACTCTCCACATCCCAGATGCTCAGGATCCCTCCTGATGGGTGTAAAAAATGGGTGTAGAAAAGGCCAAATCGGCTCTTCGGCAAATTACATTTACGGCTTTCGTTCTAGGATGCTGCTACTTTGCAAATATTAATAAAATAGCTCCTGTTTGTGGTGTGGGAGGCAGACACCGAGGGGGAAGCTCAAGCATGAAAGAGGTAGAGACTTGGTTGAGGTCAGGGTGAGAGCAGGGAAAATTCTGGGTTAGTTTTACGTGTTTCTTGCCCCAAACGTTTTTCACCGTGCTCCTCGCTAACCCCGGCGGAGAATTCGTGATTCTCCCATAACGTGGGTTTCTCACCGATTATTTTGAATCGAGGCCACGGCTGGTTTTCTCTAAATTCATCCCTGTGCTCAGGGAGAAAATGATTACTGTTGGGCAGCTGCACTTACTCCATAACCACAGTAATTAGTGTAATTTCCAGGGCAGTGGGCGATCTCTGGCGCTCCCTGAGCTCCGCGTTCCATCCCTCTTTGCCCACCCTGTCTCCTCATCCCTGAGGCTGTTCATTGACCTAGGAGAGCAAAATAGGGGGTGTTTCCCCATTTCTTGGTTATTTGCCATCCCTACAAGCCACTGTCCTTCCCAGGCCTCACTTTCCCTTGTAAATAAAAAGATGGAAATTGAACTGAAAACCTTTCTGCCTTGAAACCCAGACCTGGTTCCGTGGTCAAGGACTTGGAGGGCTCCAGAATGAGCTGTGATTGAATTTACTGGACTCTGTCACAGAATCCCAGAATCTTCTAGGTTGGAAGGGACCTTCAAGATCATCTTGTCCAACCGTCAACCCAACTGACAAAAATAGACACCCCCACAACAGACAAGGAGCATCATCACTAAACCATCCCTCCCAGCACCACATCAACCCGGCTTTTGAACACCTCCAGGGATGGGGCCTCAACCCCCTCCCTGGGCAGCCCATTCCAAGGGCTGAGAACCCTTTCAGGGAAAAAATTGTTCCTAATATCCAGCCTGAACCTCCCCTGGGGCAACTTGAGGCCATTTCCTCTCGTCCTGTCGCCTGGGACTTGAGAAAAGAGACCGACCCCCACCTCTCTACACCCTCCTTTCAGGGAGTTGGAGAGAGCAAGAAGGTCTCCCCTCAGCCTCCTCTTCTCCAGGCTGAACACCCCCAGCTCCCTCAGCCTCTCCTCATCAGACTTATTCTCCAGACCCCTCACCAGCTTTGTCGCCCTTCTCTGGACCCGCTCCAGCCCCTCAATGTCTTTTTTATGGTAGGGGGCCCAAAACTGGACACAGCACTCGAGGTGGGGCCTCACCAGTGCTTTGTTTCTCACAAGCCTTGGCCCCTGCAGGTGTAAAAATGACTTCACGACGATTTAATTTGTCTTAAATTCTCTCCTCCAGCCTCAACGAACAGTCAGCGGTTCGAGGAAGCTCACTTCACCTTCGCCCTCACCCCCCAGCAGGTTCAGCAGATCCTCACCTCCCGGTAAGTGAGTCGTTGGGATGCCCTGGGGAGCCCGTGGCTTCCCTCTGTCCCTGCTCCGGGAGAATAAAGTGCCAAATTGGGTGTAAAAAGGGGGAATTCCTCACTGTCAGTGCTGCTGGGCTGCTCACAGCCGTCGGGGACCAGCCGCGACGCCTGCGGAGTGGGATTATTGTGTGGAAGGAAGAAAATAAAACAGTTGGGGATAAAAACGTGGTAGTTCATCCCCAAATTTCAGACTATAAACCTGGGTCTATAAACATGACTGTTTGTTTGCACTGGCGAGTCTGGAGTTAATCTTATATTCTCAAAAACTCAGCAGGAGCAGGAATTATTGAGGTTGATTTTCTCTTTTTCCCAACTCTTCTCTTGGATGAGCTTTTGCTTTATGTCCTTGTTTGGGAATTTCACCTCCTGCTTCCAGCAGCTGTTACCTCTTTTTACCATTCAGATGCACTGGTTTTATTCAAAATACAACTCCCAGGCATCGATATCGATATAAATTAATAAAAATCTCACGCTGCTGTAGTTGTAATTCCCTTTTGACTCCTAAGACCTTCTTTTTCCCTTGCAGGGATATCTTACCAGGTGCCAAATGTGATTACACTGTACAGGTGCAATTAAGGTAAGGGGGGACATCTTTTTGATGAACTCATTAAGCCTTGTTCCCTGAGCTACCGCAGTGCTGGGAATTTATCCGAGGTTTTGCTCAATCCCTGCTTTTACCACTTGATTTGGTTGGAAATTTGAAATATTTGGTGCTGGATTTGGACGTGGGGGTTTTTATGGAGCGAGGGTTCAGCAACACCAAACCACGAGGCTCTTTCTGGTCTTGGGGAGGCTGAAGGAGCTGTCTCTGTGAGACACATCACTGCCACACGAGTTTCCTCAATTTTAAATGTAGTAAAATTCAAGTTTTTGCAGAGTTTTGCACTCTTAAATAGACCCCGCTTCGTTCTCTTCTCCCTTTTAATTCTTTGCCTGTTTGCAGAAGGCAGAATAAGATGCAGAAACAACATTGCCTTCAAATTTGAGCTTTTTTTTCCCTTTCACCCAGCTACTGCTCATGAAAATGCGAGATGTGTTGGAGGGTGTGAGGAGAAGAACACATCCAAGAGCTTCCTGGGTTCCCCTCTGGTTCTTGCTGGGGCGGATATTTCAGCTCCTGCAGCTCTGAGCAGGAACAGAGGAGGCTCTTGCCCGACGTTCAACCCTTGGCAGGGTTAAAAAATGTTAAATTTTCTTATCGGGGGGGTTGGACTTGGCAAAGAGACAGAGGATGACTCCGTAAGCTCAGAAAAAAAATAAAGAGATGGGTTTAGAGCTTGGGTTGTGATATCTGGGAGTGTGAAGAAAAGCAGTTATTTGAAATGAAAAGCCTTTGATTCCACCCGAAAGGGAACCTGGTGGCTTTCAGGGAGGCGTTCTCTATTAATTAGGGGGCTGTAACGAGGTCTCTCTGATTTTTTTGGGGCAAATGGTGGTGGTTTTCCTGCTGTGCCCATCTGTGCCACTCGGTGCTGGTGGAGCCTGTTCCCTGAAAGGCTTCAGGGGGTGGTGGATGCTTGGAAAGGTCCCTTCTGTAACGCAGAAAAATACCCCACGTGGGTTTCAGAAGGGCCAGTTTGGGTGTATTTTGCCTCTTAATATGTTTTGGGCTTTGGAGGTAAACCAGAATTTAGCAGATAATCCACTGGGAAGCTTTTAGGAGTCTCCTGGGGTCTCACTTTGGGTCAAAAAGAACTTTTTAATTCCTCAGGTGCTTTCGTGGAGGGGTAATTCCTTGCCTCTTGAAGCGCTGCAGAACCTCTGGGTGAAGAACACCCACAAAAACACATGTAGGGCCATTCATCTACTTAGATCTTTCCACCCATTGATATGTCCCACTTGGAAAAATGCTTTTTTTCCCCTTTTTTCAGGCTTTGCTGGAAATAGGGGTTTTTTTCCCCTTTTTCCAGGTTTGGCTGCTGTTTTTTATTTTCATGAGTGTTGCCACTCACCCAATTTCTTCCCCCCTGCTTTTTAGGTTTTGCTTGTGTGAAACCAGCTGTCCCCAAGAAGATTATTTCCCTCCTAATTTATTTGTCAAGGTCAACGGAAAACTCTGTCCCCTGCCCGTGAGTAAATCTTATTCCTTCCTGTTATCTTTTAGCCTAAAACCTGCCCCTTTTAGGCAGCTGCAGCTCCCGGGGGGGGCGCGGGGGGAATGGATTTTCTGGTGATTAAAGATTTGACTTGAAGAAACGACGTGGTCAGATGCAAAACTGATTTCGTGTTGGCGATGAAAAGCTGCTCTTTGGTTCAAGGACTGTGCTCTTGAATTAAAGAATATGCAAACTTTGGGCCTGATTGGTTTATTTTTTTTTTTTCCGAGATTCCGTCTTGGTTTTGGTTTGGTTTTTTTTTTCTTTGACAAGAAACTTGGTAATAAAAATGCAGAGTGAAATGTGAGATCAATGGAATCAGTTTATTGCCTTGCCATCAAACCTGCAGAACGGCCTCCGAGCCGCTCCCTTCCTGCTCTGAGAGATTTGCATTTCTTTTTTTTTTTTTTTCAAATATTCTGGCTGGTTTTTGGCCGAGGCGATTAAGTAAACCCGCTTTAAAATAAAAATAAATAGAGAAGGGGTTGTTTCTGGCCTCGTGGGGTGGAAAGAGGGAAGCGGGTGGGAGATGGGAGGTGGGTAAAGGGTTGTGTCCCCCCCTGGTTTCTGCTGGCAGAGGAGGTTTTTTAGTTTTTTAGCCTTCCTTTGGGTGAGTCATTTGTTGGTTTTACTTCCGCTCAAACCGCTGGGCGGCTGCTGAATCAGCCTCGAGCTGCCCGCTCGAACCCGGAGTGATGAGATAAAAAAACCAAAAAACTGGCCTTGAATCTCTCTGAATTACAGAAAAGACACCCGTGGGCTGGGTGGGTTTCTAACGAAGCTGGGATGTGGCTGTAACGAAGCAAAAATGAGATCAGCGTGAGATTTGTCACCGGATGTTAATTTTTTTTGCCTTCCCAGCCTCCTTGGACTGGGTTTGGCTGTTAATTTGGTGCCTTTTGGCTGTTAATTCAGTGCCCCAACAGTTCTGGGGGGGGGTCCAGCTGGTGATGAGAGCACCCCCAGCACCCTCGTGAGTGAAAGGATAAGGGGGGACCCTCTACTTTTAATTTCTTAAGGAAAAATGACGTACAACTTTGAGGTTTTAGAGAAATTCTCACCCCAGCTCTGGGGTGGGAGGCGAAGAGTGAAGAAATGGGGTTTGGAGGTTCTTGTGTGCGGCCCCAAACCTCGGGGTGGGTTTATTTTTCCTCTGTGGGGTGATGTGTGTCTCTCTTTTGCAGGGTTATCTCCCCCCCACCAAGAACGGCGTGGAGCCCAAGCGACCCAGCCGCCCCGTCAACATCACCCCCTTGGCACGGCTCTCGGCCACCGTCCCCAACACCATCGTGGTCAACTGGTCCTCAGAGTTTGGCAGGGTGGGTGCCATCAAAGCTGGTTTTCCCCTTTTTGCTGCAGGATCAAGCTTGGTTTTTTTGGCAGCTGTGCAAAAAGGAGGGAGGTGACTGTGCCCCTGGACTCGGCACTGGTGAGGCCACACCTCGAGTGTTGGGTCCAGTTTTGGGCACCTCAATCCAAGAGAGATCTGGAGGTGCTGGAGCGAGTGCAGAGGAGGGCGACGAAGGTGGGGAAGGGCCTAGAGGACAAATCATATGAAGAGCAGCTGAAGGAGCTGGGGCTGTTTAGTGTGAGGAAGAGGAGGCTGAGGGGAGACCTCATCACTCTCTACAACTACTTGAAAGGACACTGTAGAGAGGTTGGTGCTGGTCTCTTCTCACAGGTAATTAGTGACAGAACGAGAGGGAACGGCTTCAAGCTCCAACAGGGGAGGTTTAGATTGAACATTAGGAAGGAATCACAGAATCACAGAATCTTCTAGGTTGGAAGGGACCTTCAAGATCATCTTGTCCAACCGTCAACCCAACTGACAAAAATAGACACCCACACAACAAACAAGGGGAGTCCCCATCCCTGGCTGTGTTTAAGGGCCGTTTAGATGCGGTGCTGAGGGACATGGTGTAGGGGAGGACTTTGTAGAGTAGGGGAGATGGTTGGACTCGATGATCCCAAGGGTCTCTTCCAACCTCAATGATTCTATGATTCTAAGGAGAGCCCCCCCTCCGCCCCCTCTCCTTTCTGGTGGGTTTTTCTAGGTCTGAGCAGTGTCGTTGTCTTCTCCCCAACAGAACTACTCGCTCTCCGTGTACCTGGTGAAGCAGCTGACGTCGGTGACGCTGCTCCAGAAGCTGAGAGCCAAAGGCATCCGGAATCCAGACCATTCCCGAGCCCTCAGTAAGTTCCTCTTGGGAAGGTGAGACCCTGCTTGGGCTGATCCTGGGGGGGACAGGAGATGGTTGGAATTAGCAGCACCTTTGTCCCTTCTCGTTTGTGGGGTTCTCTTGATGAGAACTCACCAGGAAGGTAAGGCCAAGTGTTGGGTCCTGCCCTTGGGTCACACCAACCCCCTGCAGATCTCCAGGCTGGGGGCAGAGTGGCTGGAGCTGAAAAGGGACCTGGGGAGCTGGTTTAGTGATGGTTTTTGTCAGAGTTAGGTTGATGGTGCTGAGGGACATGGTGTAGGGGAGGACTTTGTAGAGTAGGGGAGATGGTTGGACTCAATGATCCCAAGGGTCTCTTCCAACCTAGACAATTCTATGATTCTCTGGTTGGACTGGGTGATCTTAAAGGTCCCTTCCAACCTGGAAAATTCTATGATTGTAAAGATTAGGGGTTATTTCTCAGCGATGCCACTCAACAGAGCTCTAAATCAGTCTGTTCCTCAGTTCACTGCCAGTCTCTGGGGTGGTGCTCCCAGTTTGTGCTGTGGTGGGAAGTGTAGGGAGAACTCACCAGGAAGGGAAGGCCAAGTGTTGGGTCCTGCCCTTGGGTCGGGTTCTCTTGATGAGAACTCACCAGGAAGGTAAGGCCAAGTGTTGGGTCCTGCCCTTGGGTCACACCAACCCCCTGCAGATCTCCAGGCTGGGGGCAGAGTGGCTGGAGCTGAAAAGGGACCTGGGGAGCTGGTTTAGTGATGGTTTTTGTCAGAGTTAGGTTGATGGTGCTGAGGGACATGGTGTAGGGGAGGACTTTGTAGAGTAGGGGAGATGGTTGGACTCAATGATCCCAAGGGTCTCTTCCAACCTAGACAATTCTATGATTCTCTGGTTGGACTGGGTGATCTTAAAGGTCCCTTCCAACCTGGAAAATTCTATGATTGTAAAGATTAGGGGTTATTTCTCAGCGATGCCACTCAACAGAGCTCTAAATCAGTCTGTTCCTCAGTTCACTGCCAGTCTCTGGGGTGGTGCTCCCAGTTTGTGCTGTGGTGGGAAGTGTTCTACCCTCAAAATACACCCTGTTTCCAACAAACCAACCTTTCCCCCGTGCTGCCCCTGCACAGGCAGCTTAAAACCTCTGAGGGAGAGACTTGTCTCTTTGGGCTCCTCTTGCCAAGGAACCATCAGCCTGAAAGTCCCAACGTCTGTGCTGCCAGCATTGCCTGCCTGTAATTTGGATTATAAACCTCATGGTGCAAATTATAAATCGCTTCTGGACGTATTTGTGTGTGTAAAAAGGAGGAGGATGTTGAGAAAAGACCTTTTTTTCTCCTTTTTTCAGTCAAAGAAAAGCTAACGGCGGATCCCGACAGCGAGATAGCCACCACCAGTCTGCGAGTTTCCCTCATGTGTCCGGTAGGTTTTGACCTTTTTCTTCTTTTTTTTCTCAGCTGCTTTGGAGCAAGGTGAGAGCTGGTGCTGCCAAGAGCCCTGCTTTTATTGAAAACTCACCTTTGATTCCTCAAGAAGAGCAAAACCCCTTGCTTTTGGGTATAAAAAAAATTCCCGAGAAGGTGGGTTTTAACTGCGTTGCCAAAAATACCTTCTCTTGGCCCCATCCTTGTCTTTCCTTGACTATTAGCGTCTGTTTGAGGTGGAAGTGAGCTAAAAAACAAAGCAAAAAGGCAAAAATGCCCTCAGGAGAGCTTGTTTTCTCCCACATGTTAATTCTTTGTTGATATTTAACCTCGTTAAACGCACTGGGCGGGGGAGAGAAGGGAATAAATGGAATGACACCATTTAATAAATGGAATAACGTGATCTCGGTGCTGCGGGAGGTTTGGTTTGGGTGAAACCAGCTTGGTTTTCCTCTCTCTGCCCCCCCAGCTGGGGAAGATGAGGCTGATCGTGCCCTGCCGAGCCATCACCTGCAGCCACCTCCAGTGCTTCGACGCCGCGCTCTATCTCCAGATGAACGAGAAGAAACCCACCTGGACGTGTCCCGTGTGCGATAAGAAAGCCCCCTACGACAACCTGATAATCGATGGGTGAGCTCAGCAGGCTCCTTCCACACCTTTTAGCCCAGATAATATTTTTCTTGGAAGGCTTATCCTCTAATGCCAGCGTCTATCGGCAAGCTGCAGCCTCCAATAACTTAAAATCTGATTTTTTTAATTTTTTTTTTCTCATTCCCTAAACTGCTCCGGTGCCAATCTGGAGAGATTTCTCCCAAAAAGAACAAGAAGCCTTTGTCAAAGCCTTGGCTCCCTGGCTGCGGAGGCAGTAAGGAGGGAACCTGCTTTGAACAGAGCCCTCCTCTGTACCTCCACCAGCCCCCTCCTAAAACTAGACCTGCAGGTGATGCTGGCCTGGGTTTTAGAGCAGTAATTCTTTAGTCTGGAGAAGAGAAGGCTGAGGGGAGACCTTCTCAATGCCTACAAGTATCTCAAGGGAGGGTTGAAGGAGGAGGGAGCCAGACTCTTTTCAGTGGTTCCCAGTGAGAGGACGAGGGGCAACGGGCACAAGTTGGACCAGAAGAGGTTCCACTCAAATCTGAGGAGAAACTTCTTCACGGTGAGGGTGGCAGAGCCCTGGGACAGGCTGCCCAGGGAGGGTGTGGAGTCCCCTTTTAGTGGAGTCCCCTTCTTTTGGAGATTTTCAAGACCCCCCTGGATGCTCCTGAGTAACATGCTCTAGCTCTGGGCAATCCTGCTTCAGCAGGGGAGTTGGACTAGATGATCTCTAGGGTCCCTTCCAACTCTAAAATTCAGTGAAATTCAGTGAAATTCTCCCTGCCCCTTCAGCCTGAGTCCCCCTGTGGTTTCTGCCCTCCATCTGTGTGTATTTATCCGTGGTTCTGGGTGGTGTTTGCTCTCCCCAGCATCTCCTCTCACCCCGCAGGCTGTTCATGGAAATCCTCAACTCCTGCACGGACTGCGACGAGATTCAGTTCATGGAGGACGGTTCCTGGTGCCCCATGAAGCCCAAGAAGGAGAACCAGGAGCTTTGCCAGGCGTCTGCCTTCAGTGGCATCGAGGGTACGGGACCTACGCTCACCTCCTCTGCTTTTTAGAGATCTTTTGGGGTTGTGTTTTTTTTGCCAAAGCAACGTTTACACTTAATTTTTACATTTACAAAGCAATATTTCGGAGAGTTTCAGATCCCAGCTGGGAGTTCATAGTTGGGATCCCTCTGAAATACCAGGAGCGTGGCAGGCTCTTAGCACAGCCCCGTGGAGTAAGGGCTAGAAAAAAAACCCAAACAAAACACCAAAAAAACCCAAGGAAAATGCAGGTTCCTCTTAAAACTGCAGCATGAATTCCAGGTGGGCAATGGGGGACCTGACCCTTAGTCTTGGGCTGATGCTTCTGGGATGGGGTGTGGATTTGGAAGATTTTGTTGAGCTCGTAGAGGTTTTTCCTCCTCTCCATTTTGGCAGCTGATGCCTGGTTTTTCCTCTTCCCCACAGCCAGTTCTCTTTACACGGTGAGCTCCGAGGGCAAGAACTCTTCAGAGGGCAAAAAAAAAGTGGAAGTTATTGATCTGACCCTGGACAGTTCGTCGGACGAGGAGGAACCCCCTGCCAAGAAGCAGTGCCCGGGCTCCAGCGCGGCTCTTCCCACCACGGCGGGGCCCAAGGGGTGAGGCAGCACCAGAACCCACCCCCCAGCTCTGCTGGGTTTGGTTTCTCTTCCTTCCTGCTCTCTGCTTCCTTCCTTTCCCTGTTCCAGAAGGACAGGGAACTGCTGGAGAGGGTCCAGCAAAGGGCTGCGGGGATGAGGAAGGGAGGAGAAGAAGGAAAGGCTGAGGGACTTGGGGCTTTTGAGTCTGGAGAAGAGAAGGCTGAGGGGGGATCTCATCATTACCTAGAAATCCTTCCAGGGTGGGGGTCAGGAGGATGGGGCCAAGGAGGCCAATGGCATCCTGGGGGGCATCAAGAAGAGCGTGGAGAACCTCAAGGAAGGTCATCCTGCCCCTCTGCTCTGCCCTGGGGAGGCCCCAGCTGGAGCACTGGATTACCTAGAAATCCTTCAAGGGTGGGTGTCAGGAGGATGGGGCCAAGGAGGCCAATGGCATCCTGGGGGGCATCAAGAAGAGCGTGGAGAACCTCAAGGAAGGTCATCCTGCCCCTCTGCTCTGCCCTGGGGAGGCCCCAGCTGGAGCACTGGGACCAGTTGTGGGCTCCCCAGTTCCAGAAGGACAGGGAAGTGCTGGAGAGGGTCCAGCAAAGGGCTACGAGGATGCTGAGGGGCCTGGAGCATCTCTCTGGGGAGGAAAGGCTGAGGGACTTGGGGCTTTGGAGTCTGGAGAAGAGAAGGCTGAGGGGGGATCTGATCAAGGCCTGGAAATCCTTCCAGGGTGGGGGTCAGGAGGATGGGGCCAGGCTTTTTCCAGTGGTGCCCAGGGACAGGACAAGAGGGAACGGGCACAAACTTGAATAGAAGTTCCATCTCAACATGAGGAGGAACTTCTTCACTTTAAGGGTGGCAGAGCCCTGGCAGAGGCTGCCCAGAGAGGTGGTGGGGTCTCCTTCTCTGGAGACATCCCAAGCCCATCTGGACACATTCCTGTGGGACCTGCTCTGGGTTGACCTGCCCTGGCAGGGGGTTGGAGGAGATGATCTCCAGAGGT